GATATGGTAGAACCGCAGCAAGAATCTGAGAGCATGAAATTCTAAATAACCCATGCTTCTCTGGGTTAAAGCAAATTTAGACAGCGTGTTGGTCCACAGGCAACCCAGGTTCCAGCAAAACCGGCGTGAGCTCTGAGAACAATCTATATGTATAACGAGAGTAGTGGGTCCGACAGAGACTCGGTAACCCTGCCTCTCTTGAAAGCCGGCGCAGCTTGTATCGCGCCCTGACGGGGTTGCGTAACTCAAACCTGATGCGAGCTGCATCAAGTTTGGCGAGCCAAGCCTCACGGCCAATACACTCGATGTTGTGGATGAGGGCACTTCATCCCTGCACCAAGGTTTTGCCATCTCGTACACGGCTACCATTGTGCCAGCTGTGTTTGAAAAATGCATCGGTGAAGAACTCTTCCTCAGCACGGATAGTTTCCGTGCTGGAATCAGGTGGGTAAATCCTTCTACAATCGGACAACAAAATTCTATCTCGATCGAAAGTCAGGCCGGCCAACCGGTACAACTCATTGGATGACGGCATCTAAGGAGACTCCACTTGAGCATCATGGCGCAGGACATTTCGGTCTCTGGCCTCATGATTGGTACCAGCGTGAGCGCTGGCACCAGTGAAACCACGATCCTTCGAGTTACTTTGCTCGTGTTGATGCTTCGATTTATCACCACCAACCCCATGCGTCCTATCATTGGATGGACATGTGCAAGGCGGATATTCGTCGGATAAATCGCTCGATCTGAAGATCTCAGACATGATACCGCCACGTTGACCAGTATCAGTCAACCTGGCTCTTTCAAAGTCTGCCTAGGGTGATCTAGAGGCGTTAGGAGTAGCCTTCGAATCGAGTGCAACATCTGACTCGTCGGAATAGATGAGCTCTATCTCAGACTCGTATTACGACCCGAGGTACCCGCTGCAGACGCAGTGGATGTACCTGTCGCACGTGGTGACTCACCACGTGGACTGTTCACAGCAGCAGGCGACGATTAACCTGCTGCTGAGGTGTGAGAATTAGTCTCACCGGCTGCACGCATGCGTGCATCCGCCTTTATTGCTGTGCTGCTACAGTAGCAACTCGCTTGGGTTTTGAAACCATGCGTTTGATTGGCAAATGCATGGAAATTGAACAACAAGTGCTTCTTTTTCCAGAGTGATCCAACGGTGGTCACCCTGTCCCAATCAAATATAATTCAAACAGCAGGTGATTGATGGTTAGGGCGGTGATGTTACAGGGTAGCCCATTACATGATATTGAGACCAAACGATGTCAATTGGGATTTTGTCTAGCGTGACAAAATCCTACCAAAATTATCCGAGATGGATGACATCGAAGGAACATTATCTCATTTTGTACAACATTCAATCGCTGCTTCAAGATTGTTTAATATTAGACATTTCAACCATAGATTGCCACCTATCGCTGCTAGACGTGCGCAATGAGTGGTGAGCGGGTTGTCATCATACGACGACGTAGTTTAATATAGTTTGATAAAGGTTAAAGTTATATTGATAGATTAACTACATTTGTACAGTTCTAATTTTACCTTTACTTGAACGAGTCGTTTAAGTAGAATAGCTCCCTCTGCACGTACTAGTGTCCGTGAATTTTGTGGCGCACCGAACAAAGGGTGCCCCGTTACAGTACGAGCATTATACGGATGAGATCACAAACGCTACAGCAAATGTGAGGTAAGAAATCGTATTTCCGTACTTCACGCCTCGGCTACGGTGCCACGGAGCGTGTGTTGCCGAAGCAATCTGCAACTCTGTGTGCACAATTCCAGACCAGTCACGGATCACAGCACGGGTTTTTGTGATCGAGGTCTCACGTGAGAGCTAGGAGGACACACTACAAACGGATGGTATTTCGATTTCAGACGCCTACGCACCGTAGATATCACCGGAATCAATTACGAATAAGTGGGTGTGTATTCCCCGTATCCGAGAGACTCTCGGTATTTCCCTCAGTTACTAGAAATCGAGCAGGTTACAAGAATGCTTTCGATCATGTCAGTCTCCGTGGCAAGGTGAACAGGCACGATTTTAGGTTTGTTGGCGGCAACAAAAGATGATAAAAGGGTGTACGTACAGCAGGATCATCACACGTTTACGCATCTTGCACACGCAGTATTGCGCGCTATCCTCGCAGACCCAACGCAATTCATTCGCATCATCATCAAGCAACGTGAAGCCAGGTTTCGCTTCCTCGCAGACATGCATGAAAACTGGCACCCACTGCTTGTCAAGCGTACAAAAAGGGAAAGACGCTGTACGTACGTCGTACGTACTCTGCCGACATCACTAAGATCACCAGCCGGACATTTGGGACGCAATCTTCTCGTTCAGAATGTAGTCATCGACAAAGTCTATGTTTACTGCCATGACAACCCGATGAGGGTAAATCGATTTTCGGTCCCCATCAAAATGAAACGGGGCACCCTTTGTTTGGATGCCACAAATCTTGACGTACACTCTTACCTGCAGAGGAAGCTATTTTACGTGTATGCTAGCCTCGGTAAAGGTAATAATAAACTTGTTTTAATTACAGTTGAGCTATCGATATCACAATAGTCTTTATCTTACTATTTTAAACTACGTCTTTGTATGATTACAACCCGCTTACCTCTCACTGCGCGCGCTAAGCAGCGATTGGTGGTATTCTGTCGTTGCTATGTACTGCATTGTCCAAACTTGGAGTAGCGAATGAATATTATCCAAAAGTGGTTAAAATCCCTTCAAAACAATTATCCTGGATAATATCGGTAGAATTTTGTTATACTAGACAATCTCTCTATTGACACCGTTTGGTGTCAATATCATGTAACGGGATATCCCATTCCAGCAGCCCCCCCCCTTCACCATCAATCACCCGTAAAAATGAAATGAATTGGTTGGGACAGAGTGATCAATTGTAGAGAACAATGGGAAGTGGGTCAGTTGTTGGTTGAATTCAATTAATTTGCTTTATTTATTGCACGGTATCAAAGCCCGTGCGGTTCTTGCTGCAGCATCCAGAAATGCTATTGCACACAAGCCTGATCTAAACCCTCATCAGCAGGTGACTGTTTCCCTGCTGTTGTAAGCGAGAAACAGGCAGACCTTGCTACGATTAGTCCACGAGGTAAATCACCACGTGCGATAAATGCATTCGCTGCGTCTGCAGCGGGCGCTGTGACCGGCAATGTAGATGAGACTACAACAGAGATGATCTATCTGGCGAATGTGATAATGCATTTGACTTAGTAGTCGGATCCTCCTGCCTTCATGTCACCCGGGGCGGGCACTTACAGAGCCAAATTAAAAGCTCCAGATAGTATTTCGCTTTCACGTCCGACATCTTCGGACTAAGCGATTCATCTTACAAATTCTCGTCTCACGCAAGTCCATCTGACACTAGTACGCGTAATTTTGGTGGTGACGAATCGTTGCATCAACACGAGCAAAGTAACTCGAAGGACCGGGGAGTCACTGGTGCCAGCGCTCACACTGGTACCAATCAAGAGGCTTGAGACTGAAATGTCCTGCGCCATGATGCTCAAGTGGAGTCTCCTTAGATGCCGTCATCCAATGAGTTGTACCGGTTGGCCGGCCTGACTTTCGATCGAGATAGAATTTTGTTGTCCGATTGTAGAAGGATTTACCCACCTGATTCCAGCACGGAAACTATCCGTGATGAGGAAGAGTTCTTCACCGATGCATTTTTCAAACACCGGTTGCACAATGGTAGCCGTGTACGAGATGGCAAAGCCTTGGTGCAGAGATGAAGTGCCCTCATCCACAACATCGAGTGTATTGGCCGTGAGGCTTGGCTCGCCAAACTTGATGCAGCTCGCATCAGGTTTGAGTAACGCAACCCCGTAGGGGCGCAATACAAGCTGCACCGGCTTTCAAGAGAGGTAGGGTTACCGAGTCTCTCGTGAGGTGATTCGTGTCCAGGTTGCCTGGAAATTCGAACCATGCCTCTGGGGAGGCTTACCTCCGTAATGATCCCTACTGGAGGGCGCGCATCACTTCTGAGATGGCCAAAGGGATTGACACTTTGCAATCCCTGTACTCGCGGACGAAGAGGTCGTTTTCCGATGGCCTTTCTACAAAATCAGCGGGTGGGTCTCGTCATACTGCTCGACGAGACCCAGGACATCACCAAAAAGCTGGGCACGGTGCTCCCAGCTGTCCCACGCCGGTGTAAATCCAGGCCAGCGGACGAGGTATCACGACCGGACACCATTCACGTCACGGTGGTTCAAAATACGCGCCACCAGAAAGAATTGTCCACCGCCTGAGTTCACCAAAGGATGTAGTGGCGGATAGAACACCTAATTCGGCTTGAGGGTCGGATCAGCTTGATGTTCAAGAGCTGAACCGTCTAACGAAACGGTTGCAAGATGACCTGGCTCTTGAACGATCTCGGCGTTATGGGCTTCATGATCTAGTTAATAATAATCATAATTTCTTAACGCACGATCATTCGAACGATCGTGCCGCTTTTGCGTTTGCGCTGCTCGAGAACGAGCGTTCGACTCGTTCGCTTCGTGATGAGCTGGCCGCTTTCGTCTAGACATCGCTGAGCTGCACGAGCGGGTCGCTTTCATAGTCAAACAGACTGGCTCGTTGAAACGGGACCACTCTAAGGTGGTCTCGGCTCTCGACCGCGGAGGTGTTCTTTGCATCTCAAAACTGGCTCGTATTAATAGTAAGGGCGGAGAAGAATGACGTAAAACGTAGGATTCGTACGCATCCGCTGAGGCAGTTCAATCGAGTATGCGTTGCTCATTCGGCGCAACACACGAAATGGACCGATGTGCCTGGGCAGTAATTTACTGCTGCCCACGTTTGTCACTGCGCGTTTCGGTATTTTTACTGCAGACAGTAAAACTAAATCTACTCCATCAAATAAAAGAAAGTTTTCTCTTTCATGTTTTTCTGTGTTTCATTTCTGCTTGTCTATTGTGTCTGCAATATAATCTTGAACGAAGCGGACAACTGCAAGTCAGCAGAACTTCCTTTGCTGATTCATCCTTGTCAACAGCAAAGCACTTCGTGTGCACTGCTGAAAGAACGTTTCTTCACCAGTGAGGGCGTCATCGTACTCACTTTGGCGGTCCTTGGCGATGCTGAATATGCCAGCATCGTCGTCATCGTCATCATCGATAACGATCTCATTGACATCGGCATCCATCACGTCGACACCATTGTCGACGGGTGATGAGCACGTATCAGATCGGCTTTCGTTCGAGCGAGTCCACCCCCTACATAAACTAGAGTCACACTCTAAGAAGGCGGATAAATGTAGATGACGTAGTCCGTTCACGAAGAACGGTGTGTGCGTTGACGACGCATGCACCAAATTGTTTATGGTGAATTCCGCCATTAGCATGAACTCACTCCAGCTCGTAAACGAGTGGACATGCCCTCGAAGTATCTCTTCGAGGAAGCGGTTTGACGCGTTCCGTCCGACCAAGTGTTTCGGGATGGTCAGAAGCAGACATCGTCAACCGTGTTCCAAGTGAACAGATCACGGATTGCCAGAAATCCGCTGTGAAGCGGGCGTCCCTGTCACACACAAGTTTACGGTGTAGCTTGTGAAGTCAGAAGATAGTATCAATGAAGCCACGAGCACAGCCCTGGGCTCTGATTGACTACGGTACAGCAACAAGATGCATCATCTTGCTGAAACCAATCAACAAACACAAGAATACTAGTATTCTTGTGAGCTTCTTCGGTAAACTTAAAGACGAAGTCCACCGATACGGACTGCCAACACTCTGCCGGAATCGGAAGAGGCTGTAAGGGTGCGCGGAATGAAGGACTAGGCTTCACCCATTGGCAAACTTCGCAAGCACGAATGTATTTGCATACAAAATCACACTGGCGAGGCCATTAGAAGTCACGACTCACCATGAAGTAAGTCTTTTCTCTACTGCGATGCCCACTTGTTGGGGGTATCGTGACACTCATTTATGATGCGCAATCGCAAATCATTATGAGCCGGAACGACGACACGAGGTGTGTCGCCGTTGACCGCTGTATAGCACAACAGTCCATCACGGACAGAATATCGTTCGGTTGAGGAGAGGTATTGAGACGAAAAGCTTTTCAAAGCTCGATTACACGGATTGAATACGCAATCAATCAATCGCAGAAGAGACTCATTTTCTGCGTATACTTTTCGCACGTCGTCGAGCAGATTTGACGACGGAACAGCAGCTAATAGTGTTGCAACAGTAATCTCACCCCTACTATTGGGCTGAGTGGTCGGCTCAAAATCGGGCCGACGCAAAAGAGCATCAGTGACGACATGAAGTCGTCCTGGTTTATAGTTATAGGAGAAGTTGTACTCCACGAATAAAGACAGCCACCTCGCCATTCGTTGCGAGTAGTGTGGACTGTTTACGACCGTGCGTAACGACGCATGGTCGGTGTAAACGATCAAGGACCTATCTCCTAAGAGATACACCCGAAACTTGGCCAGTGCATAGTTCATGGCAAGGAGTTCCTTGTCATGCACCGGATAATTTTGCTCAGCTGCTTGCAGCTGACGCGATTGAAAACAGACGACGCACTCACGCCGTCTGAGTCATACTGCATCAACGCGCAGCCGATTGCAAAATCGCTGGCGTAACAGACCACATGAAATGGTCTATCCTGATTTGCAATCGCCAACACAAGCGATCGCATCAATCTTTTTTGGATACGTTCAAAATAGTGCTGAAACTCAGCGCTACATGACCACCTCTCGTTTTTCTTTAGCAAACGAGAGAGACGTACTGTCATCTCGGCGTAGTTGCGCGAGTACCTGTGCAAGTATGCCGCCAAGCCGAGGAACTTTCGAAGTCCCTTGACGTCGACTGGCACAGGCCAGCCGCTAATCGCCTTGATCTTCTCCAGATCAGGGCGTACACCGTTATCACCCACGATGCAGCCAAGAAGTGATATTTCATTCACTGCGAATATACGCTTCTTGAGGTTCGCGAACAACTCATGCTCTCGCATTAGTGTAAGATCCTTCCGAACGTAAATTCCTTGAACCTCCACCTTCTTCTTTCCATCCATCGACCGGCTATGGACGAAGACATTATTAAATGAACTCGGTGCAAAATCTCGCACCAATCGAAACAGATTCGTAGCATATCTGTTAAACGCTGCAGGGGCGTTACTTAGCCCTGTGGCATTACTAGCCACTCCCTGAGCATTCCACTGGGGGTGCTCACTGCTGTGTAAGGGATGTTCCATTCACGCATGAGGATCTGACAGAATACATCCATCAAATCCATGGACGAAAAGATGGTACTTTTTGCCATACCATCTATGATGACATCCTTCTTGGGATCGGCATTTGAGCCGGTACCGTTGCAGCATTCAATTTGTTGAGCGCGTGCTCTACCAGCCCCCTTTCTGTGGCCTTTCGAACACAGAAAGGTCGGAGAGCTGTGTGGGGAAGCTGATTCCCTCACCTAACCAGCCGCTAAACGATCGGCAAAGAGTTTGTCGATCGCTGTGACCTGTTCACGAGGCAGTGGCCACTGCTTCATGACACATTGTTTCGAACCGGGTTTCAGTTCGATTTCATGTCGAGTGCTATTGTTCTTAGGCAACTCGAATGGCACGGATTCCGGGAAAACATCCCTACAAAATTCAACCAAATCCTTGCTTAAATGATTTGTCTCCAAGGACTCCCAAGATTGAGACGTGTGTCGCTCAATCCGAGTCTTCTCATCGAGGACCCTCTCGTCCATACATGAGCTACTGAGAACCCGTTCGTTCTCAGCAGACACTTGTGCCGATCGAATATTGGCGACGTACTCGTCCTCTGTGACGAATACGCAGATCTGCTTGATCTTGGCGCTACGCAGATCTCGCAAGAATCTTTTGTATTATAGCGTTAGCAACTTGACTACCATTTGAAGCTGACTTCGGGGGTGTAAACAGATCAAGTGTATAAGCGCCTTCACTAGATCCGTCATTCACCAAGACAATCACTGTCTCGGTTCTTTCCTGGAAAAACACATCCGCAGGTGGTTGGGGATTTACACCATCAACAAAAATCTCTCGGGAGTTATTGCTCTCAGGAACGCTGGAACTTTCTTCCAAGACGTGTGCTGACTGTGGGTGCACTACCACAGTCACTTCCTCATCGATCGACCCTCTTTCAGTTGATCGGGCTTGCTCTACGATTGACTCTCGTTTCTTCGATCTCGCTGTAACGCGTTGTTCATCCTGAAAAACACCAACCTCTTTTCTTGGATGCACCCTGTTTGATGTGCATCCGCGTTCCAATTCACTCGATCTCTTCGAGTGTTGAACATTCGGCGCAGCCTGTGTCTCTACACAAGTGCCGGAAGCTGTTTCCACAGTGTAGTGGCCTTTACACTGTGATCTTGTGCAGTCACACTAACCACTGTACCATAAGTGAGGCTATCGCACTCACTCGTAGTACATCCACACGCTTGTGGACGCTCCAAGACGTTCATCAGATAGTCATCTGATGAATAAACAGCGGGCACCTTCACAGATCGATGCTGCCGGCTATTCCGTGGCTGGTATTTTCTAAGCCATGGCAGACCGAAGATGACATCAAATTTGTCATTTAAATCTAGTACGACGAAGTCATTGTCGTACTGCTTTCCTTCTAGCGTGTAGTGGATTCTCACTACATGTTTATTCAATGTTACGAATGCGCCTTTCGCAAGGCACATCTTCATCCTCGTTGGAGGGAACTCTTGCTCGGCATATCTGAGCCTACTATCCCCTAGCGACTGGCATCGAATAAACTGTTCGACGCCCCACAGTCAACCAAGGCGCGAAGTGACATTCCACTTGTCACTTCGATCTACAAAGCGATGAGGGACACCTCATTAATAGGTGCAGTCACACACAGCGACTGTGTGTTGGAAGCAATCTTCGTCAAGCGTCCTGCAAATTCTCTTGACGTTGCTGGATCAGCAGGGTGCTCCGCCCCTACTGACCCTGTCCATTTTTTGACGGTCCGACTTGCTGTCACGGCTTAGCTACATGATCGGACCCACGCCTTGGACCTTTCCTTGGACATAGGTGGTGATCACGTCCTGTCTTAGGACGCGATGCGGTGCTCGGGACACTACACTCATTACAATAGTGTCCAATCTTCTGACAGCGATGGCATCTTGCCGTTCGCTTGTGACTCAGAGAGCGAGAGTTCACGCTCTTGATGCAAAAAATGTCCATTGGTTCGGACCTCCTGTTTCTTGTCGTCTCTTAGGACGATAGTTTGACGTGTTCGCCTCAGACTGTCTCAGGTTGAAGTCTTCTTGTTCTGCATACGCTATCGCCTTTTCCAGCGTATGGAAGTCCTCCCGGAACATGTAGGTCTTCACCGGTCCATCTACAAGACCGTAGATGAACACGTTGATGAGCGTGGGCTCATCAGCAGGGTTCTCCGTAACGCTACTTGCAAGGTAGCGTAGGTGCTGTGCGTAAGCGTGCACGTCACGCTTACCTTGCTTAAGCCTCAAGGGTGCAGAGCGTACTCTGGACTCAGCTCTCGGCGGCTCAATAGTCTCTTTGAGCCGAGCCTTTAAGATCTCCAATGACTCAAACACGTTTGGGTCGTGAAGCTTGAGCCCTAAGGCCCAAGTCTTTGCTTGTCCCGTCAAATTTGACGGGGCGAAGGTGACTTGCATCTCGTCACCCTCGATGTGACGGGCCCTGATGGCATCGTCTAACTCAACGAACCATCGCAAAACAGAATCTTCATCGGCTCCCTTGTACCTTGAGATATCTATCTTCAAGGTTTCGGGTCGACGCATGTGCGTCGGCCCACCCATCGACTGAAGAGAGCCTTGCTGTCGTAGCAAGGCATCCTTCCGTCTTTCGATGGCAAGTTCCTCTTGTTGGATCTTATTGGTAGCAACATATTGCTGGTCTCTACTAAGAGACTCCAACATACCACTGATGGCGTGTTTACCCATGAGCACACATATACGGCCGACTACCTCCCATTCTGAGTCACTCAGGTGGGAGTAGCCTTCACGTGTGAAGTAAAAGCTGTCGTCTACTCCGGCCAACAAGTTCATGTTGGACGGACACTAAGTAGTCGTTGGACGGAACTACAAAGTGCAACCAGGTGTAAACGGTGCACCCTTTATTCGGGGTGCCACGAAACATCACGTGCACTAGTACGTGCAGAGAAAGCTATTCTACTTAAACGACTCGTTCAAGTAAAGGTAAAAAGAGGACTGTACAAATACAGTTAAGCTATCAATATAACTTTAATCTTAATCAAACTATATTAAACTACGTCGTCGTATGATGACAACTCGCTCACCACTCATTGCGCACGTCTAGCAGTGATTGGTGGTGATTTTGGATGACATGTCTACTATACATCCGTTGTCAAGCAGCACATGAATGTCATCCAAGAAAGATCATGTTCTTTCGATACTACCTATCTCGGGTAGTATTAGCAGGAGATTGTCACGCTAGACAAAGTCTCCCAATTGACATCGTTTGGTCTCAAAATTCTGTGACGGGCTACCCCTTACACGTACTGCTGGTGGCGGTATTAAAGCAAACGTGTTACTATGTGGGACCACCTACAATCCATCAACCATCATGAGAAAGGGGGACCGGTGGCGGATGCTTGGCAAATTCAAGGCTAGACGATCATGGTAGAGCTGGTGTCAAAGTTGAGCATCGTGTTTTGTGTTTTTCGCCTCATGCATTTCCACACTTGTCATGAACCGACCATCCGCAAGGTGGACGACAGCAGACGGACAATCGTTCGATGCACCGGTCGTTGCCGGATGCAGTTTTGTCATTCCATCCGTGATGACCTGCTACGATGAAATCGTGATGGTGCGTTGGTGTTTCGTGGCAAATCGAGCCAGGCAGGCGGGAACATGAGCCCTGATGCTTTCCTTCTTCACATCGATTAAGCGTGCGGCTTCGTATTGAAGTAATCGAAAGAAAACAGACCCACGAGGATTGTTAGCGTTCGTACAGGTCACTCGAAATCACTTGTTATCGAAGCATTTACAGGAGCAATCACGCAGTACAATGTATATTGATCAGGGGGCGTTTCGGATGGAGCGCAGTAGTCCACCGCGCAACAGTGTATAGACGGTTTGAGAATCTCGCATAGTTTCGTACATTCGACGTTGTAGATGCAGTGACGGAATTTAAGGTGTAGTGGATGTGTTGCCTTTAAATTCACGATGACGGGGTACCTCTCCAATAGCGACCGCGGCACATTGGCGTACATAATCGACACGTACCCTATCTGTCCTTCACTCGTGCGTTTTACCTCGTAATGCGCCTCGAAGGTCTGTATCAAAACAGATGTCTCGCACAAGGGCTGTCCGACTCAATCTTTCGCATCTGTCACGTCGCGATGGTCCAGATCTCGTGAATTCGATATCTGTTGCGATTCAGTTCTTGTGCTGGTCACCGGGTTGTCAAACTTTGCCGTCATACTCGTCACGAGTAGCTGCATGTCTGTCTAGCATCCATCAGTCCGTGGCGGTTTCACTGGTTTCTTGATTTTCCCGATGAGCCAACACGAAACGAAACGAACAGGTGCGCGTCTACGGCAATATTGACGGATCAGTAGCTAACCTGTCGCTCGTCCAGGCAGATAGATGTCTTTGTGTCGACCAACCACATCACAGTGGAAGAGCCTAGAATCTGCATCAGTTGCTAGCAGCCCGGCACTAAACTGAACGTCAGCTATGTATCCGCGGTATTGGAAAGCTTTGTGTTGCGGAGCAATAGTTTAAAATGCACTTCTATGAACAACTTTGTAAACTCCAAACACCCCGCAGCCGAGTGAACACTGGTAAGATGGGCCTGTCTGCATCAGTAAGTTAGCAAAGAATGACGAACATGGAGGAGTCGAACACAAGTGACTGGCCGTTCGTTCACGGAAAGTATTTTGTGCGTCTTCTTTCTCAACACCTCAACTCCTGGTTGAGAGTTGACTGTCGAGATATCGCAGGTTGCACCGGTATCTCAGGCTACTAACGATCGCATTCGCCTGTCCCAGTCGGCGGTTTTTCAGGACTTGTTCGGCGTCAACA